GTTTCTCCCTATTTAGTCCCTGCTCTTCGTTCACTCCCCTGCCAGTTCTTTCTAGCTTTTCTCAGGCCCGTTTGTTCCCTGTAGTTCTTTGGATTCTGTATTTAGTGTTTTTGTGTCTATCCTCTCCAGCTGCTTCGATTACGTTCCCTCTTTGCATTCAGCCGCTCCTTCGGACCACGGACCTCCTCCACTCTGCTTATCACCACCCTGCAGGTCGATGCACAGTCTACCACTCAACCGTATGTACTTTTTCTGTTTATCTTCAGTTACAGCAAACCCGACCAGTCCAGGAGTGAATCCCATTGTCCGCAGCCCGGTCCTCTTGTATCATTACCATCATTGACTGTGAACACTCCTAAGCTCGACACCCGGTCCCTGTATTATTCACTGTACATTTATTGTCTCTTATACATCACTGTAAATAAATTACACTGTCTGCATCAAAGTCAGCCATCTGGGTCCGTCTATTTTTGTGACTCGCTCACGGTTGTGTTCGAGCAGTCCTAACATTTGTGCATTTATTTTAATTAAATAAAGTCATATTTAGTTCCCCTACAGAAACATTTACTTCTCTGTTTTTGAAATAATAAGTCAAGATATTTACAAAACCAATATTACTTATTTTATTTAATTTAGAAAATAAACATAGCACATAAATGTATAAGCCTCATGTAGCCTAATAACTGCAGTTTGGTTGTACAGAATTCTGGAGTAGGATACTGTACTTTTACTTTCATGATATTTATCAGTGAAAGTGAGAGAATCACCCAAAATTACACAAGAGTCGACATGATAAATTCATCCTGGTAGGGCTTTGTGAATAAAGTGGGACTGTGACAGTCAATGTAACAAAGTAACAGAGTGACAAGGGTTAAGTTAAAATGTCAATAAAGAGTGTTCATCCTTGTCAAGAGGTAATAAAAATGAAACTGCTATTAATTTGTGATATTTTATAAAGGTGTAAACCTTTGGAGTTTTAGGACCACAGAATTTATGTGTTGCTCTCTACTATTACATATTATATGGACAATAAAAAGTTTTTCATATTGTTGTACTTTAGTGAAGCACAGTATTGACATCTTCTGAGCTCAAGATTAATAAACCGTTGAATGAAACTGCATGAAAAATTCTTCAACTCAGTGGAAATGAACATACTTTGACCGTATGTTTACTGATATTATTATAGAAACAGTCGCACACAAGCTCAGTAGAAATTGTGAAATTTTGTTATGAGTGATTGCAATGATCACAGTTACTGAACAGCACAGAACAACATCACTGGTGCTGTTTGAACATTAAGAGAGGGTAGAAAGCTTGTTATGAGGGTTTAGATCACAGGAGCCAGGGAAACTAGGACTGAGAGTCTATTGGCTTCACAATCTATAATCCGTTGTAATGAATTTATACATTTGACTTGCAAATCACAAGAAGTACAAATTTATGATAGTTTTTTAAGATAGTGGAGCTTGTTATGAGGGTTTAGATCACAGGAGCCAGGGAAATTAGGACTGAGAGTCTATTGGCTTCACAATCTATAATCCGTTGTAAGGAATTTATACATTTGACTTGCAAATCACAAGAAGTACAAATTTATGATAGTTTTTTTTTAAGATAGTGAAAATATGTATTTGACATACAAGAGTATGCAGAAAGAAGTGCAAGTTAAAAGTGAATTATTAATGTGCAATTGAAATAGATATCTACTGTGTTTGCTGCTTTGTTTTTCAGATATAGACAGAATTTATTTCTGTCCGTATGTAATCAGCAGAAGATAAGAGGTGTCAGGCTGGAATCACTTTTCTTTGCAATGTTTGGATAATTTTATCTCGTAATGATTTTGTTTGTATACCATAAATGATTGGATTTAAATTACCAGGGACGACATGAAATAAAACATAAGCAATCTTCCTTAAATCTGGGTAATTTGAGAAGCGGTGCAATGTGATGGTTAAACACCCTGTTAAGAGCATGATCAGATAAAGAACAAGGTGGCTTGCACAGGTTTGCAGTGCTTTGTTATTCAGCTCTTTGTTTTTCTTGATCCAACAGACGAGAGCTATTCTAAAATAGGTGGCAGCTATACCTCCTATTGAGCAGCTAAACAGCAGCACAGTGAAGAAGAGTCCATAAATGTTGTTGATGGACACATTCTCACAAGAAAGCTTGAACAGTGATGCGTTGTCACAATAAGCATTTTGTATCAAGGATCCACAACGTGGCAGCCTTACTGTAAGACCGATCAGCACAGACACAAGAACTACTGAACTCCCCCATGCAGTTGCAGACAGTCCGATCACTGTTTGGGTAGTCATAACTGAGCTGTACCTTAAAGGGTGACATATAGCCACATATCTGTCAGTTGCCATAATGATGAGAATCATATGTGAAGCTGAACCAAACATGTGGCTGTAAAAGGCCTGAACCACACACTGTTTGTAGGTGATAAACCTTTCTGTTGAAATGATATGAGCCATCAGCTGAGGCAGTAGCACCGTGTTACCTATGAGATCATTGACGGACAGGTTACAAAACAGCATGTACATCGGCTGGTGCAAACTCTTTTCAATGATGATTAGCACAAGAATTGCAATGTTAGAAAAAAGCAGGGAAACGTAAACAAACAGCAGTAAGAAAAACAGAGGATATGTGAATTCTGAAGATATGTCAAAACCCTGGATCTCTAGGATGTCACTCAAAATGGACTTGTTTCCTTCCATTGATGAAAAACCTGAAAGTGAAAAAAATGCTTTGTGTGCATAAATAATACTTACCTTTTCACTATTAATGTCAGTCTGCAGAAATAAGAGATATAAAACAATGTAGAAATATCCTACATTAATCATTTGAGCATTAGTGTGTTTTGTAATGGAAACGACAGTTACATGATGCAGAGTGGTTGCATGGCATTAAATATTACACCACAGTGATGTGGCCTTTATCCTCTAAATATATGCAATAAATGCTCAACAAAAACTTTAAGCAGACATTGCCACAGTGTTGTATGTTAAAATGACACAAGAGAATGTGTTCTAATAGATCTCGGTACCTTGCCTGTGGAGGTAGGAATCCAGACTGAACAGCTACAGTAGATACCGAGCTCTTATATCTTCAGTGTGAGTAACATCTGACATCAAATCACTGTCTTCCCCCCAGTGTTTTATGTAATAAGAGTTGGCTCAGACAGTTTGGGGATATTTTTAAACTGGCCTTAGAAGAATATTGATGTGTCCATGTCTACATGAGAATAAGTCTTATTAGTGGCTCTAACTTTTCCTACACTGAAGCTTTTCACCCAGATTGTGTCCACACTGTAAAATAATGGGGGACAAAATAAACCTCCCTCATTCTGTGCAAAAATGTACTCCAAGGGTCATCTAAGGCTCAGACGCAGCTTTAATTGTCTCACTAAGATAAGCTGAGGTGGTATCTCTCTAAGTTAGCTTATTTAAGCCAAATTTAGGAAAAGTTACAGCAACTAAGACCTGTTCTCACATACATATGGAGATGTCAACACCGTTTTAAGACAAACTTAATACATCCTGAACCTACTGTCATGGCTAGAGTGTGATGCCGACTAAATTAATTCAGACAAACCATCCCAATTTATTAAAGGATCATTTAATATTACAATTATTCTGAATAAAGCAGTATTTAAACACATAATCTTGTAGTTAGGGAACAGAGAACAGAGACTCTCCTCCTGCAATGTGATAGATGAAGCATAAGAAGATTGTCAGAGCGCCAGTCAGTTGTT